GGAGAGAGAGGGAGAGAGAGGGAGGGAGATAGAGAGAAAGGGAGACAGAAGGATACAGAGAGAGAGAGAGAGAGAGAGAGACCATGTGCACGAAGCCAAACGGTTTTCAGTTAAGCCACCACCTACACACTAAGAGTAAGCTTACAAACTCCAGTATCTCACGTATTGACTATCTACATGTACATAGTACACATAGTCCAGATTTCTAGACAGCGACATTAATTTTGAGTTCACTCAACCGCATCCAAACGTAATCCGTCATCACCTGCCAAACCCACCGCGCCAGGGCCGACACAAGAAGGCGCTCTTTGTTGGGGATTCACGCAAAGCCACACGGATGGCTTCAGTAATTACAGCACCATTGTAGGAAAAGAAATGCCCGAGGCTTTTCTGTTCATCGCTTTTGTGAAAACTGTCACTGCTTCTCCGGTGTCACGGAAACGTCCACGCATGTCTTTTGTCATCAATACTACCTGATCCAGCCCGTTGGCTCAGTATATAGCCCTATGCAACGGGTTTGACCAACTTCGGACTGGAGGGATGGATACCAGACTGTTTTTTTACCTGTCACAAGTTGAAAAGGAGCATTACGTAACATATATTCACCAAAAATTGAAATGTTATCTTCGTGTGATTGTAATTTACTTCCACTTTTCAACATATTTGAGTAAATATTTTTCATCTCTCGGACATTTATGGTTGGCGCTAAAATAGCCGATCGAGACACGAGACGAACTCAGTCTGTGGTACCACCACAAACCACCAGATTACTGTATGCCACGTTACCAACATGTCGTTAATGTAGCAATGTTTTTATTGTTTCGTTACAGCCCTAGGATCTACCGTACGCTCGAGCACACCTCCCAACCGCCATGGAGTACAAAGTAATATGCCTGTGTTTTCTATTTATCTTTCTTTGCAACTAATACAGAAATTGGTGTGTGGTAAATCTTTCGGTGCCTTTTAGATGTGTAGAGGGACAGTGCATGCATTTAAGATTTAATCTGTGATGTGAAAGAAAATCAACAGTTGATAACATTTCTGCCATTTGTAATGACTTCCCACACGTGTAATCCACCAACATGGCGGATCGAACATGACGTCATCGTCACGTGAGTGCTAACACGTGCCTTCTCGTTCCCAGGGGTATTTCTACATCATGAGCAGGCAGACAGGAATGGTCCTCGATGTGTTTGAGGGCAACACCGCCGCCTCCACTCGCCTGATCGTCTACACCATGAAGACGGAGGGAGCGGAGAACCAACTCTGGAAGTACGACTCGGAGGTTGGTCTCTTCACGCAGGCCCGTAGCCAGGATTTTGAGTGGGGGGTTCTTCCCACTGCTTGAGGGGACCAGCAAGCGCCGTAGGCGCGAGTTTCCTGGGGGGGGGGGGGCATGCTCCCCTGGGAAATTTTGAAAAATGAACCTTCTGAAATGGCATTTCCTACGTTTTTTAGAGGATTTCAAAGAAAACAAATCAGTGACAAAGTGAGCCGTTTTCCTACGATTCCAGCCTTGCTGGTGACACAAATCAGTCCATATCTTTTGAAGAAAAATCGTGGACCTTTAGATAAAAAGTGGACCAAAAAGTGGATCTTGGAGTTCTTCCGAACCCCCCCTGGCTACGGGCATGCCACGTATAGGGGACATGACACTAATTCCAGCCCCCATTGGAATATATGTTAATACAAGAACTGAGCTGTCAAAAATCACCTACATCATAACTCTCGAGCTGGAAAATGCCAACATATATCCACACATACCAAGAAAAAAGCTGTTTTCAGTTGGTTTGGGGGTCTCAGACTGGGCCTTCTGGGCAGGAGCCAAATGGTGACCTATAGGGCCTTCGTTTTCTAATTTCCAAGCAGATGTCTGGTGGCAAAAGCGTTACGGTTAGAACTGGCCATCTAGAGCTACAGAGAGTCCTCAGCCGCCCAGAATTGGGTGGCAAATAGTTACTGTCTGGCAAATGTATACTTCCCAGCCAATTCGATACTGTCTGCAGATATGCTTGGAGATTATACAGTTTTCTACAACAAGCATTACTTGCTGACGATCGCAATGTTGTACATTTATATGTCATATCTAAGTACTTGTAAAGCTCACGAAAAGAAACATGGTATGTTTACGTGACATTTACAAATGCGTTCATGTTACGTAAAGGTCAGCTCTATCTTACGGTTGCTTTTCTGAAATCGGGAATACTGTTAAAATATTTCACCGCCTTAGTTATCTTTTTACGTAAACTGTTAATTTGGCTGAAATGTCTATTGTACGTACTAACGGCTTAACGGCTTCCCTTCATACACATTTCGTTTCATTTCGTTCCATTTCGTTCTATTTCGCACTTTCTGGGGTCCCTATTTTTGGTGACGTCTAAATTGAAATTGAGTTACACGAACTTACGTACCTCTGTATCTTTTCTCAGACTGGTGAGCTGGTGAGTCGTCTGAACGGCTATCGTGTCGACGTGTCCGGTGGATATGCTTTCGACGGCGCAAAGTAAGACAGTTTGCTATTTAGAAGACTTAACGTATCATTTCAAGGCTTAACATATCCATAGCTCTTACGTGTCCATCGCTCTAACATATCCATTGACTCTTTTTTTTCGCAGGATCATCAACTACCCGACCAACAACGCGCCCAACCAGAACTGGGTCTTCAAACCGGACGGTTCCATTCAGAGCGGCCTGGGGGACCAGTGGGTCCTGGATGTGGAGGGGGCCAACACCAACGCCGGCACCCATGTGATTCTGTACCAGCGTAAGGATGGAGGGCCCAGCATCAACCAGCAGTGGGACATCGTGCCCTATGTGCCCACGGTAAGGACTAGTGTGTTGCCTTCGCCAAGAAGGTTATGTTTTCCGTAGCGTTTCTATGTGTGTGGCGTATATGTAGCACGATAACTCGAGAAGCTTTGGTTGGATTGTCATGAAAATTGGTATGTGGGTAGGTCTTGATGAGACCTGGAAATGATGGTGGTTTGTTATGGTACTGCAGTACTAGTGTTCCGGCTTAGATATCTCGCAATCTGGACATGTTAGGGTCACGAATTATGGATGGTAGATGCACCTATTTTGTGTATTCATTTACATTTAGAAGTCCAAAAGGGTAGTATATGGCCAGCCGGGAAGAACTCAGGAATTTGTACTATGTGAAGTGAACATCTGTTTTACTCGGAAACATTGCAGCTAAAAGAAGACAAATTTTTCTTAGTCCAATTGGAAACAAAGTTAATCAAAGCCAAGACAAGACAAGTTTGATGCGAATGAGTCAAATGGACCCTCTGTTGCCTCCCTTGACTGAGTTTTACATCCAATCGTCGCCATGGCAATAGTTTTTTTTATTCCCTATCTTGTTTGAAGTGACAGCATCTAGCTCCTGTTTCCTCCCCATGTAATAAATAGGGTTTAGTGGTCGTTTGGTGTCTTAGCGTCTATATATATCTTACTATATAAACGAGATCCAAACAGTTCGATTACTTCTGCTTAGCCGGGTTTATTGATCTGTATGTTAACTCTAATACAGGTAGATGTGGTCAATGTTATAAGGGAGTTTATCACTTAGTTACACGGAGAGTTACCAATGGTCTAGGATTACATTACAGATGAGATACTAACAGTTATGCAATACTGATCTACAGAGCTACAACTACACATGTACACGTACCTGAGTCCTCGGTCACCAACTGACTTACAGAGCGATTGTCACATCCAAGCTCAACTATGCTAACAATAGTCCTTCGCCTGATTGGTTGCTCTCACCAACCAATCAGTGCCTACCTAACGCGCAAATATATGCATAGCTCACTATAACAAGTCTTTCCACATGGTCATTTACATATTACCCTAATTACAATATTCATCACCGTTACACCCAGACCGGGTTCTACATCCGAAGCGCGCTGAACGACTGCTACCTGCAGATCGCTGACGGCAGTGACAAAACGTCTGCTCCGCTCTGCATCGGGAACAAACCTGGGGTGCCCCGTGCCGACCACAGATACCTGCTCTGGAAGTACAACAAGAAGGTGATGATTTATTAATTATTTATGATTTATTATCATATAGCCGGGTTACGTTGACCAATAAGAAGGCTCCATTCCACATTCCTTATGACGCCGTAATGTCACAAATAGAGTCAATTTATTCATCCCAATCAATACATTAAACAACCCAATAATCACCCGCATATGACCTCGGGTGACCCATATAGAACACGATTCTCTTCTAAAAAATCCAAAAATAACTTGATTGCTCACTTGGTGGTTTTATTCGGTAGTTATAGCAACTGACAAGGCTTTATCACACCATATTCACCTCGGGGAGGGGTCATTAACCCTTAATTATTTTCCCCATCAACCAAACTTGAAGCATTATGAACTACTCTGACAGAATTAGCAACTGATCTGTAGCTACTGTGACCGTTTTTGGCGACGTCTCAGGGAGGAGCCTAATGGTACAGTATTGTGTGCAATTTGCAAGAATTCTAGGAATTGTACAGGAATTTTGTCCACAGGAATGGAATGTCCACAATGTCTCCCAGCTCTGTTGACATGCCCACATTCCTGGAAACCCTTGGGAAAACATGTCTGCCCAGATGCCCTACTTTCTGTGACCCCGGGGGTCGTTCACTATACACTCAGGGGAGGGGAGGGTACAAAGGCTTCCTCAAAATCATGAAATCATGGCAGTGCCATGCAAACATTAACCCTAACAGCAACCACCTTCGCCATGGCAATGTATGTTTTCATTGTCAGTCTTGTTGAAACTGCTTATAGTATTCCTCTTCTTTTTTCCTTTACAGGATCGTACCATCTGCAGCGAGCTGAACGACTACGCCGTCGACGTGCAGGGTGGCTCGGCAGAGAACTCTGTCAAGTAAGGGAGAACACATTGAGACGTGTACGCAATGTGTGTGCCCGTTTGTGCAAGTGTGTGTATGTCTTTGTCTGTGCGTGTATGTGTGTGTGTAAACATGTCTCTATATGTGTGTGTGTGTATGTGTGTGTGTGCGTGCGTTCTTGTGCGCGTGCTTGTGTGTGTGCTATTATGTATCTGTATCTATGTGTGTGAGAGACTGTATGTGTGTTTGTGTGTCTGATTATGCTCGTTTCTCACAGTGTTTATATGCATGATTGTTTATTTCTGTGTAATACCGTGAGTACTGATGTATTCATCATCATAGCACCTCGCCTATTCAATGGAATATGGCTTCCTCAATGGAACTCCTTTCTTCGTATTTCATGTCATCATTGATACTTATACCAACGGACAGATATTTTTTTCTTCCAGAATCATCGCCTACCCCTGCCATGAGGGCGCTAACCAGCAGTGGACGTTTGAGAAGACCGGGACCATCGTGAGCGGGCTGGGGGAGAACTGGGTCCTGGACGATCAGGCTTCGGGTGGAGCCGGAAGTGCCGTGATCCTCTACACCAGGCATGGCGGGAAGAACCAGCAGTGGTACATCTCCGAGGATTAAAGGCCTAGGGGGTACCAGGCAATTGGGTGGTCCGTAGAGAAATCATCCACCCCCTCCGGACCGACTGAGGCCTGCAGAACCAAGCTTAACCGCCACGTGTCGCTTTTACTGCATGCAAATTATGCGTTAAGCGTTTAAAAGTAAATTAGACCTAAGCTATACGGTAGTAGAAATTAAGTCAGTGTGCCTTTTAATTACTGAAAGGCTAGAAAATAGTTCATTTGGGACTTGGTGTCGAAAACGTCTTAAAATGCTATAATTGCTCTTGCTGCTATTTTCTTTGATGATTGCAGATATGTTTCATAGATATTCAAAATCCGTAGTGATGACAGCTGACAGGCATGGAAGAAATCGGAATCGTGATTGGTGGTGTATCACATGATCTCTCCTACCAATCAGAATTAAGAGTGTTGGACGGTCAGCAATAAACTCAAAACCATGAATCTGTATGCAGCTTGATTTGCTATGAAATAAAGTCTTCACAAAAAGTTCTTTTGTGTGTTTATTTATTGAGCATGATGTCAGGAGTCTGATAGGTACAGGGTTGACATGGCCCATGCAACTTTCTCTCTTCCAAACACAGAAATGATACACACATTCAACAGAATTTTGGAGAGAAAACTGAGTATATTGACCAAAAAATAATATAACAAGGACTCATCACAAAATTATTAACAACATGTCAGTTAAGATACACTTGTATGTAAAAACTCTTATTCACAGCATCATAGTTAATGACAGACTGTACTGGAGATGTCACTTTTTTAAAAGGTACATATATACAAAGATAAATAGATGCGGTTCTCTCAGCAATACAATGCGAAACTCTTTATATCTAATACTATAACAGATACAATAATCAAGTTAAAACATAAAAGACTATTTTAATCCAACATGTTAATAGTTATATATTACTAGTTACAAATTGATATTCAAAAAGGGCTAAAGGTTCCAAGTGCGCATGTACAGAGTGATGCATTGTGGGTAATATGTTAAAGTTGAAGGCCAATGTGACATAAACACATGTCTTGACAGGTATCAAGTAGGGTCTAGACAGAAATGTTTACAAGTTAGGGGTCTTTACTTATGGTCCCATGCATGCGCAATTGGGAGCCTGAACCCTTTTCATTGGAACTTTGTTATAAGTAGTAGTAAATGGTTTATTGATACAAAAGGAACAAATCGGCCTTGCAACAATAGCTGAATTGCGCCGAAGTTAGCAATCATCAAGTTCAGTACAACCAATAAAAAAGTATATATTATAAGACATGTATATACAAAGTTCAATATTATCGAAGTTATTAACATTACTACAGATATAACGTGGTGGTTGGAGATCATTACAATTTAAAAAAAGCGTTTACTTATTGGAGTCATTACAGGAAAGGCTGCTCTTGAACAGTTCATAACACTTCAATTTTACATATAATTACAACATATCCTTGACTTACATAACACATAAAACATAACTTGTTATCAATCTTACTTTCAACTTAATCAGACAACACTGGTTACTTTGAATTCGACACAATGAAAAAAAAAGAAATATTCTTAACTTTCAATTTGGAATTTAACTCATGTTGTCAAACGGTCAGTTTTGAAACCAACGATTTATTCCACTCTATGTGTAATCTAATGTTTAATAATATATACTTTTATGTTATCAAGATTTTCCAAATTCATAGTAACCAATGTTGCGTACAAATGTGTAACATCCATAAAAGACAAGAATTACACCCGATATCCTCTTACAGCAACAGCCTATATATCTATTTCAATCGATGGAAATAAACCTCAAAAGTTATCTTTAAATGCAATGCATTTAAAACCTGAATGAAATGTTAGGCTTAAAGCTAAGATGGAATTTTGCGAACTTTAGTATTAGATTCACAGGCATTTAATAGAGAGCTTCAAATTGATAGAGGAGAATTTTGCAAGTTTTGTCTAAGCTACGATTGCAAAGAAATCTAGATATCAAGTTAGAATTGAAAAGTTATAGTTAGTCATAACAATAAAGGAAGAAAATGCAATTAAACAGGAAAACGTTGACTACTTGCATGCAGGTGGCCGAGAAAAGTGGTACGAAATAAATAGATCTGAAGCAATTAATGCGCAAAGCAACATCAAAAGTAAACATAACCTGAAACAAAAACAATGATAACACAACATTTCACGAGTGTTAGACACAGACACAAAGATAAAATGAGAAAAATAACAATGTTAATAAAGAAAATCAAAATAACAATAAATAACAAATGAATAAGAACATTATGTTCCCACCGGCGTTGGTTATTACGACTTACGACTTCAAATGAAAGCTCATCTGTGTTGGTAGAATCCATAGTTGTAAAGTTCAAGCTTTGTTCTATCACAAAAAAGGAACTCACCATATTAAGTTTTCAGTCGATCTTTGTTGGGACGTTGATTGAAAATTTACGGTGAGTTAAATTCCTTTCTTGTATTGGAACAAAGCTTGAACTTTACAACAACTTACAACTTCAAAGATGAACTTTTCTGATGTTTTGCTTTTTGTGTGAGTTTTGGCCAAGAAAAGAAGTGGTAAATGTTTTTGACCATTTTAGATTTAGGAACAGTAGAATTGTTAGAAGTCTGTGTATGCATTCTTACATCCATATGTAAAGAACACATGCACGTTTTTTTTTTATCACATCGTTGCGTTTGGTTGCGCCCTCGGAGTGCTTTTCTAGTTTTGTGGTGGCATGGGTTGGGGTGGAAACTAACGGGAAAAGTTTTCGGATTGGCGACATTGTTGGTGCGTATAGAAACCGTGTGCGATACGGCATTCACCAGTTTCTCATCCCCAGAATGCATTGCGAAAACAGGGGTCTAAACCTCATTCGCATAGGACATGAAGGCATCGGAATTATCCTGTTGACGTTAAACAGCTTGCTTAAGCTGTTTAACGTCATCAGGATAATTTCGTCATCGGAATCGGAATGATCCTGTTGACGTTAAACAGCTTGCTTTAACGTCACCAGGATCATTCCTATGCCTTCCTGTCCTATGCAAATGAGGTTTAGACCCTTGTTTTCGCAATGCATTCTGGGGATGGGAGACTGGTGAATGGGGGCATGGAGCCATGCGTGGAGGATATGTTACATATGTGGCTATGTGTGAGCGAGGAAGATATCAAACTACAGGGCTGGAACACATGGCTGTATGCTTAAGTCACATTTCCAAACCGGGGCCCGGCCGGGCTGTTTGTATGAACGAAAAATTAACAATTCATATCAAGAATATACAGGAATAGTGCCCGTGGTTGTTATTAAGAACTTTTCTGTGTTTGTCGTCTTTTATATCATATATGATCGTTCCCAAAAGCTGCCCGGCCGGGCCCCGTGTGGGAATTGTGACCTCAGCCGTAGGGTGGGTTATCTGCAAGATGTTGGGGTGCAAGATCGAGACGTTTTTTGACAGAACGTCTCTGAGATCTTGACTTCTGTGACAACTGTCCACTTCGTGGATAGCTGTGTGGCCAATGCTGGGTGATGAAAACTAGAAAAACCACACCAAGACCGCGAATGTCAAAATGGAGCTTCGTTATGAGTGTTGTATATAAGGACTTACAAGTTTGAAACTGTTCGAAAAAAAGAACCACGGGCTTAAAATTTTATCACTTCTTCTATTGGCCTATAAGACAAAAATGATGATGCATATGTTACAACTGCAATTTGAAAGAAGGACACTAGGGGGCACAGATACTATCAATGACTTGGTAAATTGATAACTACTATAAAAATAACTAAATAATTATAAAATGATTTTACAAACTTTTTTTAATCTAAAGAAAAAAAAACCCACAAACCTACGCCGGTTGAAACATAACATTCTTTAGAATGACAGTTGTAGATAAAAAAAAGCGTTTGATGATGATATTAGACAAAGAGTTACAGTTACACTGATTATGTTATGAGGGTGGTTGTATGTGGAGTTGAAGCTGTGGTGATGTTATTTGTAAGAGCGGCTCTGGGTGGAGTGTTTCTGCGTTGTTAGGATGGGTGACTTGGGTGTGGAAGGCACAGGAGCTGGTGTTAGATGGGTGGCTGTCCTTTTGCGGTGAGAAGCTACTGTTTTCTATCTACTAACACACTCACTCACTCACTCACTCTATCTCTTTCTCTCTCACACAGACACAGACACACAAGTGAACACACATATACAAATGCACGCACATACAAGCAAACACACAAACACAGAAACACACATGCACATAGAGAGAGGGGGGAGAGAAAGAGAGAGAGGGGGAGAGAGGGGGGGAGAGAAACACACACAATCACACACACGCACACACACACACACACACACACACACAAACAAACATACATACATGCCACACTCACATAGTTTCTCTCTCGATTGCTTTTCTTGGCTTGTGATTTAATAAAATGTTAGGATGCGTTGTTCATTAATGTTTATTTTAGACTTTGTAGAATACGAATTGATTAGTGGTATTGGCTATTAAAATTGTTTTATTAAAATTAAAAGCTAGGGTAGTAATTTAGTTTGCTTTAATTTGCTGTTTTAATGTTATGAAATTAGTTACCTATGCCGTTAGCTCTATACACCTTAATTAAAAAGCAACGAGGATTATCTATTCGTTTGTAATATTATTGTAGAGTTAGTTCACGTGAATGCCAATTTGACCACTTTGTTACTGTCATTTTGCTTGTACATGTATTATTCTGAAGCATCGCAGTTGAAACATACATGTTTCATAGATGTAGTTTTAAAGTCGATTAACGTCCTTGTTTTGTATTGTCTACGTCTTTTGGAAAGCAGGAGATGATTATGTGGCGTCGTGGTTTCAGACGAAGAATGTTCACTTTGCTTGTGATGTACCTTGCTTTTGATGTACTTTGATAGCCGACTGTTGGTCTTGTATTGTTTGTAAAGGGTGACTGTAGAACGTCCTGCAGTCGACAGAAGACATGCCTTTAAGCGCAAAGCATCTATGGCTATGCCAGCGACAGTATTGATGGTGTATTTAGTTGTAACAAGGTAGGCTCTCTTTTCATCGTCGTTTGGCATTGTTTACGTGGTTTTGAGGTCGCTAGGTGTTGTGGCTGTGGACCTGGTATGGACTCTTGTGAGGCATGTTGGCAGGCAACAGTCGTTGTTGTTTGCCATTGTGTGGTTGCGTGTTTCAGGTGTTCCAGGCTGTTACTCCATCGCCTGTATGTGTGATAGGGTGAAATGTTTATCATGTAAAGATGTATGAAACAGTCATGGACTTAGAGTGTAGGTTTGTGTCGCAGATCCCAAGAACCTGTGTTCAGCTCTGTTTACATCACCAGGATAACAAAAGTAACAAAGAAAAATGTTTAGCAAACAAACCACGGTAAAGTACAATTAACCAATAAATTACGTCGGCAACACCCTGAAAATGATGCTATCCTTATTTAACTATAACGGATGTTGTCCTCTTCAAGTATGTTGCTGCTGCTTGTCCATTCCTGGCCTGCCTTGCTTGTCTGTAAACGATTTAGACTGTTAAATAATCAGTAACAATATTGCCGTTTGTAGATTTTCTGCTATCTACAGCGACCGCTAAAGGAATAGAAATGGAATGATAAAAGCAACTTTCAACAAGCATTGGCATTGTACGACACTATGACACTATCATGCGGTCCTCGTCAACCTGACGGACGAACGACACATGATGATGATGATGATGATACTGAAGAATAGAGCTGTGTACCTAAACAAATTTTAGGTACAGGTACAGGTACAGGTACACAGGTTTAGGTACAGGTCCGGACCTGAACCTGTACCTGAACAATTCGACCAATTTATATGGTCTTCTGAACTCCTTCAATAACAAAAAACATAAATAAACTTGATAGTTAAGGTTTATTCTTTGTTTATGGCGAATGCTCAGATAAAATATAGGCAAAACTAAGTGTTTTGTTTTCATGAACACGCTGTCCTTACACAGGGACCCATTGTTAACCACCTTTATACACATTTGAGGTCACAAATAGGCATAAAATTGGTGTGAAATTGTTTAGGTACAGTACCGGTACTGAGGGAGTAGGTATTTTGGACCTGTACCTAATCAATTTTTCCGGTACAGTATCGGTACTGCGTACCGGTACACAGCTCTACTGAAGAATGTAAAGGACATATTAAATATGTTTCAGCAGTTTTTAAGTATGGCAGTTTTCTTCATTGCTTATACTTGATTATTGAAGCAAGGGTCTGATATGAAGAATACTGACAGTCACCTTCTGAGGGTATCCGGCAAGGTCCTCTCGGGAGGTCCGCGAAGGATCATGGGAAATCATCTTTGGGATCCGCCATCTTGTTCCTGCTGTCACCAGGCCCTAAAAAAGAAAAAAAAGCACAAACTTCAATGAGCTTCTGTCTCTGAATTCATTTGCTTTATTTTGCAGGTGACAAAGCACATAGAAAATATGGAATCTTAGTGTCGAAATATCATCAGTATTTTTGAAGAGATTATTACTGAATGCGTACCGGTCTTTTTGGTGGAGTTGGCTGCTCAGGAAGAGACAGTGCATTGTGATTGTTCAGTGGTACGCTCTGGAACAGAAATCATGTCACAATAATAATACATATAAGATAATTGTAGTAAACAAAACGAATTGAATTAGGTATCTATTTACTATACATTAGCCAGGCAAGTGTGAAATAATTACCATTTAATGAGGCGTGAATTGGAGATATTGGTGTGGAACAGATATCCGTGTGAATGGGCCTGTCGGAACGTGCTTTGAAGCCTAGAATATAAAATCGTGTATGATCGTTAAAATAGTCATGTATCCATTCCACCATACCCTTAACTTAATAATCCTTAAGATGTATAACTTTTTGCGAGACCGTGCTAGTTTTTTCGGGATCATATATGAAATGATACTATGGTAGTATCTTGATATAATTACATGTTTTGTTCTGCTTTTAATATGCCCCTGACCTCAACAGGATATGCATGAGGCACCAATTTTGTTTTGTTTTTCTTACAACAAGACAAGAATGA